CGGAACTAACGAGGTTTCTAGTATTTAAGTGTCCAAACCAGACCCCCCTACCCCCATTTACATCGTCTTCCTCACCCACCCCTTCTCCCCAAACCCTAATCTGTGCCGCCCTAAAACCCCTTGCCGACGGTGAACGCGAACTACGCCGTTCACCCTGAAATTAACACCATGGGCTCCCCTCACCCTCCACTTTCTATTACACCTGTTGGTTTGCCTCGAATAGGGCCGGAACTCTTCGAATCTTGATTTGAAGTTTTCCGGCCAAGTGAAAGTTTGTCCAAATCGGCCCAAAATCACACCCTACAACCCCCAGCCTTTCCTCAACACTAATCTGTGGTTGTTTCCTTTCAAATCACCTTGAAACGACCCAAATCTTAGATCTAAGAATCGCGGCCCAAACCCTAAAATCAAATCCTTTTGATTTCGAACCGTAGCACCCTTAACCATGTGTTCTCGTGTAAGAACACATGGTTAGGGATGTTACGCGTCAAAAATCTGAAAGGATTCAGATGTTCATGACTGGACGGAACCCCTTTTGCCTTTGTGAGTTTTTCTTTTCTTTTTTTCACTGCTTCTTTAGCTCGCATGATTAAAATTTTATTTGCAATCGTTGTTTCATTATTGTTCTGTTAATTTTATGGTTTAATTGTGATAGTTAGATTCTGTTAATTACTGTTGACTCTGAGTTTGTTAATTGGTTGAATGAGTATAAGTTTTGGTTTAAGAATTAGTTTAAGTTCTTTTAATGTTAATCGTGGTGGCTTAAGTTCAGTTTAATTTCATTTTTAGTTTGATTGAGTTGGTTAATTGAACGTAATTGGGGCAGTCAGTCTGGTTAGTTGGTTTCTGTTTGTTAGTTGATTAATTTTAGCTGGTTTCTGATTGTCATTTGATTAATCTTAGCTGGTTTCTGATTGTTAGCTAATTGATTTTAGTTATTTTCAGACTGGGTTAGGGTATTGGGTTTTGGTTATTAAGGATAAGGGTAGGGTCAGTGATTCTGAAAGGCTCTCAGGGGTAATCTGGGTATGGAAAAGGGTAGTTCTGATAGGAATAGTAATATCAAGGTATAGGGAAGGGCAGTATGGGTATTGTNAGGGTATTGTATGGGTAGAGGAATGTTTTAGGACCTTCTAGAATGGGTTTCAAGTGTAAATCTTAATAAGTACACTGCAGTTACTTGTT